AACGGCTGCGCTGCATATCTACCTGCAGCACTCGGAATATCTGCTGCTGCGATAGCTGCGGCACTCCCTGCTGCAGCAGCAGCAGCTGCGCCTGCAGCCATTTGCCTTCAAGGGCAGCAGCAAGGGGACCCCCCCAATCAACAAAATCTGCTGCTGCAGGTGCTGCTTCTGTTCTTGTTGTTGCTGCTGCTGCTGTTGGTGCTGTTGCTGCAGGGGCAGCTCCGGCTGCTGCTGCTGCTGCTGGTGCTGCTTCTGGTGCTGCGCCTCCGCAGTCGCCATGATGGGCTGCTGTATAGCTGCTGCGACTACCCCCACCTGCATGCTGCTGCTGCTGCTGTTTCTGCCATTGCTGCTGCTGCTGTTGCTGCTGCTGCTGCTGTTGTTGCAACCGCTGCTGCTGCTGCTGCTGCTGGATTCGCTGCAGTGGCACAGGGAGCGGTCCAGGTCCTAAGCGTTGCTGCTGCTTGCCCCGTTGCTGTTGCTGCTGCTGCTGCTTCCGCTGCTGCTGCCACGCTGCGCTTCGGCTGCCCTCGTCGGCTTCGCTGTCGCTGTCGCTGTCGCTGCTGCTGCTGCTGCTGCTGCTGCTGCTGCCGATGATAACGTGACCAGGGCGCACTTGGGTCCTCGAAGGAGGCTGTCTTGCTGCTGCTGCTGTTGTTTTTGTTGCTGCTGCTGTCGCCGCTGCTGCTGCTGCTGCTGCTGCTGCTGCAGGTCTGTTTCGTGTTGCTGCTGAGACATCAACACACCGAGGCGGTTCATTCTCGCTGCTGCTGCTGCTGCTCTCATCGCTGCTGCTATCTTCACTGCTGCTGCTGTCGTCGCTGCTGCTGCTCCCTGTCCTGCGGGCAGCAGCAGAAGCAGCTCTCCCATTGATAGCTGCTGCTGTTACTTTTGCTGCTGCTGCAGTTGCTGCTGCTGTCCTCGTTGCTGCTGCTGCTGCAGGCTTTTGCTTCTTGCTGCATCTCTCAGGTTCCCCTGCATAGCGTTTGCTGCTCAACACATCCCGTGCTTCCTGCTTCTGCTGCTGCTGCTGCTGCTCCTCTTGCTGCTGCTGCTGCTGCTGCTGCTGCTGCCTGAGATTCAGCTGGTGCATGCAGACTGTGAGAACATCACCGTCCCGCAGAACCGCCAAGGGCTGTTCACTCGGCAGCATAAACCCCTGCAGCCGCAGCTGCAGCAAGCTGCTGCTGCTGCTGTTGCTGCTGCTGCTGCTGCTGCTGCTGCTGTTGTGACTTGGCTCACAGCAGAAAGAACCCCGAAGCAGCAGCTGCAGGAGCTGCTGCTTCAGATGCCCGACAGTTTGCTGCTGCTGCTCATCTACATAAACACAACTGTCAGTTGCTGCTGCTGCTGCTGCTGAGAAGGGACGGCAGCTCGTGCCGCAGCAGCAGAGACTGCTGCTCCATTGATCCCCCTGCTGCTTTTGCTGCTGCTGCTGCTGCTGCTGCTGCTGCTGCGGGCCTGTTGCAGCAGCAGCAGAGCTGCGACCGCCGCAGCAGAATTTTACAAAGAGCCTCATCAAGATCCGTAAGGCCCCTGTTGTTGCTGCTGCAGTTGCTGCTGCTGCTGCTGCTGCTGCAGTCCTTACTCCTGCTGCTGCTGCTGTTGCAGTCCTTATTGCTGCTGCTGCTGCTGCAGTCCTCACTGCTGCTGCTGCTGCTGCTGTTGCTGCAGCACGAAGGGCCCCTCTCCCCACCCGCCCTTTTGTCTTACCCTATATAAGCCAAATCTTACCAAGGAAGCTGTTGAGGAGAGACAGCAGCAGCAAGAGTTGCTGCTGCTGCTCTTGCTGTTGCTGCTGCTGCGGCCCACAATGGGGCTGGGGCCCCGGGGCCCCGGGGCCCCCATCCAGCGAAGTGTTTGAGGCTAAACCCTAAACCCTAAACCCTATCACCTAAACCCTAAACCCTAAACCCTGTTTCTGGTGTCAATACAATACAAATACGCTACAACCACAGCCTGAGTCCTCGCACACAATGCCCCAGCAGCAAGAGCAGCAGCAGCAGCAGCAGCAGCAGCAGGAGCAGCAGCAGGAGCAGCAATGGCTGCCGTTAGAAGGTACACCTGAGGTACTAGAGCCTTATCTATTTGCATTGGGGGGCCCCCGTGAGGTGAGCTCCGAGGGGGCCCCCCAGGGGGGCCCCCAGGGGGGCCCCCTGGGGGCCCCCCTGCTGCAGATAGAAGATGTACTGTCTCTGGAGCCGTGGGCCCTTGATATGCTGGAGTGTACAGACACCGCAGCGCTGCTGCTGCTGTTCCCTCTAACAGCAAACGATGAGGAGGAGAGGCAGCAGCAGCCGCTGCAGCAGCAGCAGGAAGAATATGATGGGGAGCTGATGAAGACAGTGTGGTTTGTTAAACAGGTAAACCCTAAACCCTAAACCCTAAACCCTAAACCCTTTTTATAGTGAGATAGATCGGTATTATTTGATTGGGAACAAGTAGATAGAAAGACTGTCTCCTTTTGTCTCCTTTTGTCTCCTTTTGTCTCCTTTTGCATCTATTTTGTCTCTATCCGTCTCTGTTTGTCTCCTTTTGTCTCCTTTTGTCTCCTTTTGTCTCCATGTGTCTCCTTTTGTTCCCCTCTGTCTCCTTTTTGTCTCCTTTTGTCTCCTTTTGTTTCCGTTTGCTGCTTTATGCCTGTATCTCCCTCCTTTTGTCTCCTTTTGTCTCCTTTTGTATCTATTTGTCTCCTTTTGTCTCCTTCTGTCTCTATTTGTCCCCTTCTGTCTCTATTTGTCTCATTTTGTCTCTATTTGTCTCCTTTTGTCTGTGTTTGTCTCCTTTTATCCCCCTTTTTTGCCTCTATTTGTCTCCGTTTGTCTCTATGTGTCTCCTTTCGTCTCTATGTGTCTCTATTTGTCTCTATTTGTCTCCTTTTGTCTCTATTTGTCTCCCTTTGCCTCCTTCTGTCTCTATTTGTCTCCTTTTATCCCCTTTTTTTTGCCTCTATTTGTCTCCTTTTGTCTCTATTATCTCCCTTTGCCTCCCCTTGTCTCTATTTGTCTCCTTTTGTCTCTATTTGTCTCCTTTTGTCTCCCTTTGTCTCCCCTTGTCTCTATGTGCCTCTATTTGTCTCTATTTGTCTCCTTTTGTCTCTATTTGTCTCCTCTCAGACAGTCCCCAATGCCTGCGCTACAGTGGCGTTGCTTCACTGCACCGCAAATCTAT